AGCAAAACGGGCTGTGGTTGCACCATGAGAGTGCATTTTAAGCTTTAACTTGCGCCTCTTTTCCAAGACTTAGTTTCATGCCCTGTTTTCAGTAGTAAGGCAAGCAGCTGCAGCTTAACTTGTGAGTTCCTGTAGCGGTTTGCTCCCATAGGAAGCTGAGCCAGGACTCAGCAATGCTTTCTGTCCTTCCCTTGGAACTTGGTGTGTGTAGTGGACAGTGATGATTTTTAGCTGGCATGAGCATTTGGTGCCTAAATTCCTGTCTGTCAGGACTGTGGAATGCACTGGACTTCGCTGGCTGCAGAATTGTTTCCCTATTTCTTTCCCCTTGTGGTTTTTCTTTTTTCTTTTTTTTTTTTTTTTTTTTTTTTTTTTTTTTTTTTAATCTGTTTATGTAATTTGATAAAACTTTCACTTTGTGCTCGCTGTAGGCAAGCTCTGTTAAAGCAGCTCCATCTGAGAGTGCCGGCCCTGACTGTGGAGCTGAAGACCCAGAGCTGGCACCGGTTGATGTGGATATGAACCTCGTGGCCAACCTGCTGGAATCCTACAGTGCTCAGGCCGGGCTGGCAGGACCCACCTCCAACATTTTACAGAGCATGGGAGTGTATTTACCTGAAAACACAGATCGTTCTGGCTCGAGCAGCTGAGCAGCACAGTGAGAGGCTGCAGGAACTGAGAAGATGTGGTTGGTGGGGAAATGAAGCACAGACAGACCTTCAGGATGTGGAAGAAGACACAGAAGGTTTTAACATGGGGCATTTTATGCATTATGTGTGACTTTAGAGATGCAAAGTGAATCTACCTGCAAAAGCCTTCTGTTAGGATGCTGTCTGGGGTGGAAATCAGACCTTCCCAATGCTAACACAGAGAACTGAAAAATGATGTCGGGACCTGAATGAAACTTTTATTACAAACCCTGTCTTGGGTTTTTCAAACCAATGATCCGATCTACCATCATTACAAAATGCCCTTTTACCTGTTACTGGGTGGTTTCAAGGATCTGGAAGGCAGTTTGTGTTCTGGAAATGCTGCTGCCTTCAGGGGCAGCTGGGGAAATACCGCGTTTCAGGAACATCTCATGGACTTGGGAACGCTGGTTAAATGCTCAGCAGGCATGTGATCCTTCCCAAAAGCACAGTGCTTCATTGTAAGAACTTCTGATGATTACTGTAAGAGTCTGGTCCTTGTTAACCAGGAGGATTTAAAGCGTAATTGGATCAAATATGTAAATATTGGCTAGAAGTATTTTTTGAGTTTATTTCAATAAAAGCAGAAATACAACTTGATGAGTGGAGATGGGTTTTTTTTTTTCCTTTGAAGGTATATGCAGGACTTCCTCAGTGCAGTATCAGAACTTCTTGGAGTTAAGCATTTTCACAGTTGGGCATTTTCTGAATTCCTTTATTGCTGGGTGCTGGCAGCATGCCAGCAGTGGCTGTGTGTGAGCCCAGGCTGAACAATTTAGGTTTGTTTTCCAGTGAAAATGTAGCTGGAAGGCACGTGCAGCGTGCTGCTTTCACATGGAACCAGAAATCTGTTCTAGACATGACGACTTGAATTCAAATTTATCTTGTTGAAAGTCAGATACGTAGAAACTCTTGATTGACAGCCCTGCCAGGTCTGAATCAAGCTGTTTGTCTGGTTGGTTGTTTTTAATTCGACAATTCATCAGGTGTCTGAACTGGTAGAGGAGAAGCTCATTGGTTGAGTTTTTGGTGGTTGTTTGTTCGTGTCTTGGGTTTTTTTCAACCATCTTATTCAATGATACAAATGCCCGACCGATCCTGAAACCTGATTGCTTTTAGAGGGCTGAATTAGCATCACTGTCATTAATGTGACCTTATTACTAGTCTAAATACTGGAATACAATTAGTTGAACTCTTTGGCTTGATACTTTTTTTTTTTTTTTTTTAACATGAAGCGTTGGCATTATTTTAACTGCCAAAGCAGAATGTAGCATTAAGTTGTTTCCTGGCAGGGCTTGGGTACCTGCTGGATGCTGAGCCTGTGCCTGACTGCCATGACAACTTGAGTTTCAGGAAGATGATCCCATTTAACTCTCTGGTGCTACACAGAATAGATGGAAGGACTCTTCTGTTGTAGTAGGTGAAGAAAACTTCTCAGCTAATGTTCAGAACAAAGCTGCTCTTCTGGAAGCACTTCAGCTGATCTTGCTGCTCGGATAATCTCTCTTTTCCATCAGCGAGACTGGGATTTCTATTCCAGCTCTTTGCATTTGTTTAGCAGCTTCCCAGTGAAGGCCCTCAAGGCTCTGGAATCGCTCTCAGGAGAGTCTGCCATCCAAGGAGAAGCATTTCCATGCTGCCTCTTCACTGCTTTGAAGTAACACACGAGGCATCTCTGCTTTTCATTTTGGGAGTGTTTTTAGTGAGGGAGGCCTGATGGAAGTAATTAGGGAAGACAAGTGCAGCACTGTTCCCTTTCAGCAGATTGCTATCAAAGTTTTCATTATATTCTAAAGCAGTTTAACTGGAAGTGCATCCCAACACAATTTATTCACTTTGCTCACTTGAGCAGCTGCCTTTTTGTATAGCCTTGTTCATCCTGGAACTTCTGAGCCTTCCCAGAAATGTGGTTTCCTTTTTCAGCCTTTACCCCTGAAGCCTGTAGTTGTTGGTTGATAGATTTAGAGCAAGAAAACAGACAGTGGATCTTTCACCCTCCATATATGAGACCAAAATTAACCCCAGGGCACAGCAGAGACCTGTTTAAACTCTCTTGGACACCTGGGCACCTTGGCTGTCGCCACTCTTGCCCCTGGGAAGTTTTATGGAATAGTCTCAGCAGTCAGCAGCCCTGGAATCCCTGTGCAAGCAAACTGCTCTCAGCATCCCTGTGGTGTGAGCGGGTGGCATGGACAATCCCATGGAAAATCTCCTCCCTGCAGGACACCTGCCTGCTGCCCTGCCTTTCCAGCCCCTCAGGAACGACAGCTATCCCCAGGAAACATGGTAGTTGCAGCGGTGGAAAAGCATTTTTAGTGACTGTTTGTGCTGCAGCTCCTGCTGCAGCTGCTTGTCTGAGAAACTGGAATTTGTTTTCCATAGTCAGGGCGGGCCCTTTGTGCCACCTTATGGTCCCTTGGGATGCTGCAAAGGCTGCAGCAACAGCTGCCCTCCCTCTTGCCATTTCTGTCTTTGGAGTGGAACACAAGAGCATCTGTTCTGGCAGGTCCAGGATGGAAATTTATTTCTTTTTCCAGCTGTGCTTTATTCCCCCAAGAAAATTCCTTGCCGTGGAGGGCAGTTTGGCTTCTTGGCTTAAGCAGCAGGGCTAGTGAAAAAAAGGGAGCTGTTCAAGGGTGTGAAGTCTTGGTGAGTGTCTGCTCATTGTCATGGAAAAGAGGGTCATGAACAGCTCACAGCTTTCTGGTGGGAAACTGTAGCTAAGAAGTGAAGGGATTAACACACACAGAGGGTTGGTTACTCCTGGGTAAAAGCAGGAATTGCTGTTGGGAATGGAGCCTCAGCTCCCATGGGTCAGTGCTCCCACATGGATATTCACCAGGGGGACGAGGATGGGAAGTGAAGAGCAAAGCTATTTTGAAGGTAAAGCTCAGTTTATGCAGGAAAAATTATGCAGGTGGCAGAAAATGAGATACATCCACTAAGAGTTTCTAATTTGATGGGGAAAACCGACTAATGATACCCAGTGACTGCAGGATGTTGATCTAAATGAGTTTAGACCAGGCCTTTTTTTAACCTTTTTTTCCTAACAGAAGTATTTTTGGCGGTGCTCAGTCATCCCCAGGTGTATCCATTGCCACCTGATTAACACTCAGAAGTCTTTTTTATTTTTTTTTTTTTTTTTCCCTGACACAGCTGCTTTCCATCTGTTGCTAGGTTGGAAAGTGAGTAAGGTTTTGATTGGAGCTGAAGGCAGGGGCAGCTGAAGTTGTGTTTGAGCAGTGGCTCAGACTGAACTCTCGGGCTGACTATCACATTTGGAGCGTGTCTGCTGTCCTTGAGCTTCTTCCTTGACCTGTAATGCTGAGCTCAGACTTTCTGCCGCTCACTCACTCCCTCTGGGCAAGAAAATGTGGCCTTTCCATGCCCCAGCAGAGCAGCCCAGCTGATGAATTCTCACTCCACACCAGGTAAGATTTTTTTTTTTTTTTGCTCCTACAGTCAGAGATGAACAAGTTGTGTTGTGTGCTTTGTGTGCTTTGGTTACTTTAATCCTCTGCTGGCCCCTGGTAGAGACAAACACAACTTTTGTGCCCTGTTGCTTTTGGGAAGTAGGTGGAATGTTGCTCTGAACTTGCCTGCATTGGTCTCCAGAAATTTCAGGTTCATTGGATCAATGTTCAGATTTTAGAGCTGCCAAATTATTTCATATCCTGCTGACTGGTAATACCTATTGTAACGCCCCAGGCTGGCAGCTTTTCGACACTGGTCCCTTGCAGTCCCTGATGGCAGTGGGGTCTCAGGGATTGATAAGATCCAAGTATTCCCAAAGAGGATTCAGTTCAGGGATGTGTTCCTGAGAGGGAAACACGATGCTCCACCCCTTTTGCCTGCTGATCCCTTTTCCACGGGAAAGCCCTGCTGTGTTTTGCTGAGGGAGCATCTGTCAGGAATTGCCTGCTCCTTTTTTTCTAGGTCACCTGCCTTTGTGGAGCACGTCCTGTCTTCACTGCAGTGTGTTCTTCAGGCTCCAGACAGATTTCTGAGCCAAATGCAAGTGAGAACAACAATTAAAAAGGAACATGCAGATGTTTAAAACTGTTTTAAGAGGATGTTTCAAGGAAACTGTTTTAAGGAAACTGGATGCAGGAATGCTGCAGTTGTGAGTGGTGTGAGGGCTCCTGTCGGTGTGTCTGGCTGGGCTGAGGGGAGGCAGCAATGCCCTCGGCTGTTCTGGAGCCACATTCCTACTGGGATGAGTGACAGATTGAGTTCACAGACATGACAGACACGCTCTGACACGTGGGTTTTATTGACTGAGAGTCAGGGTAGGAAGAGGGTTTGAATACGCTTTATGTCTGGGTTTTGCCCTTCCCCTCTCCACCAGCAGGTAGCTCTGCTCTCTCTCCCTTGGGATGGGAGCAACTGGTGGGGAAAATGGTGCCTCTGGAGATGTTTTCAGTTGCTCAGATGTATCAACGAGTTAGAAGCCCATTTACCATTTGCAAAAAAAAACCAAAAAAAACCCACAAAAAAACAAACCCCAAACCCTGGCTGATTTATAAAAAAAGTGGAAGACTGAATGGTAAGAGAGTCAGAAGAAGGGGAGAGCATACAAGCAGTGGCTTTTCTTCTTCTTTCTGATAGCTGTCCCAGATCCACATAAACATGATGCCACTGTCCCTTTAATTTTTTTCTGGAAAAAGTGTGCTTTTGATATCCATCCAAGAGGGGGGGAAAAGTGGAGGAAAATGGGACAAAGGTGCCAGGGGCTCACTGTCAGCTGGTCACAGCAAATTTGATGCTTTGGAACTGAGACTTTTATTGTGCATTTACTGCAAGTCGTGGGGCCTCAGAGGAGACCCAGTGGACGTGGGACTGTCCGAGGGAGATCAGATCAGACACGGCTTTGTAGGCCAGTGGATCTGATTTAAGGGTGCCATCAGGGTGGTGCTGTCCTCACTGTGACACAGCCTGTGCCTCCAGTGGCTTTGGAAGGTTTTCTATGGAGCTTTCATGGTTCTGGTGGAACCCCAGACCTGATGAAGCCCTGCCTAAGCCTGGTCTCTCTGCTGCCTAACCCACTCGCAGATGAGCTGGTGAGCAATGGCCTGTCTGGGAGGGAACCAGGGTAAAAGACTCTCATCATCTTGCTTTGAAGATCTGGGCTCTCTCTTGAGGCCCTCCACGATTTCCTCCAGGCCAAACCAACGGGCTTCCTCCAGTTCCAGGCTGTCCACACTGATCTGGAAAGAATTCGAGAGCATCAGTCCCTTAAATCAGCTTAAAATGTGGGCACAGGTACCTTGCTTGCTCTTGCACCCACAAAGATCCTGTGCTTTGGAATGTCCAGAGTGCTTTATCCATGCCTGATGCCAATCCAGGAGAGGACATTATTATCCCCCAGTGCTTTGGTGCCTTGGTTTCCCTGGGAAACACTGTTCCATCATGGCATTGGCCTGCAAAGCACCACTGGCTGAGCACAGCAATTAACGTGGCAGAATCTAATTGTCCTATGGCAAATGTGAGAAAACCTCCTCCCCTGCAAAGTTCAGAGGGAGAACTTCGGGGTGCTGGGGCTTGTACACGTGCCGTGACCTTGCAAAATCTGCCACATCGCAACAGAAAAATAAGGATCATTTTGAACTTTGTTCTTCACTTGTAGAAAAAGCTGCATTTAGAGAGGACAGCGAAACGCCTCGGGGACCCCGAGCCCCGCTCACCTCAGCCCGCTGTGCTGCCACCAGGGCGTGACAGCCCAGCATCAGGGAGCCGCTGGGGAAGGGCCAGTGCTGGGACGCCGAGTACCGGAGCGACTCCACCTCCAGCCCCACCTCCTCTGCCACCTCCCGCCGCACCGCCTCCTCCACCGTCTCACCTGGAAGCGACCAAAAGGCAGGTAAGGGCGGCCCGACCTCCGGGCAGCGAGGAAAACAGCGCATTTCCCAGGCGTTCCAGCCCGGCTGTGCCGACCTGGAAGCGCTTGGCAAAGCGGGATGCTCCACTGAACTCATCGGCAGGGCTTGCCTCCCATAAACACAACCACCAGAGGATTTTTTTTGGCCCTGTCTACATACAGAGCAATCCAACATCTCCCCCTTTTTAAGCCATTTTCCCTCCCCTAGCAAGAGGTCTGTAGTTCTTCTTCTGAGCCAGGCTGCACTAACCACAAAAATGGACTAAAAAAGTATCAAGAGCTTCCAACCTGGGGAGTTTAAAACTTATGTTCACCAGCAGGGATTAGAGCAACTGGAGGGACACCTTCCACCAGACCAGGCTGCTCCAAGCTGGCCTTGGACACTTCCAGGGATGGGGACACACATCCACCTGCGTGTCCATCCTTCTCCCTGCGCGGCTGGTTCCCACACCCTGCAAGGCCAAGGCCGCTGCTCTGGCTCAGGGCCCACCTTACCCACGTCACAGAAGCCCGAGAGAGCCGTGAACATCCCGGGGGGAAAGGAGGGCTGGCGGGCCAGGAGGCAGCGGCTCCCGTCAGACACCAGCGTGATGACCACAGGAGACACCTGGCAAAGGCAGCAGACAGCGAAACGAGGTCACACCCCGCAAGTAAGTGGAAATTGTTGCCCCTCCTGGCTGGCTGAGGGCAAAGCAGCTACACACAAAACCCTCCCGCTGCTGTTCTTGTCCCCAGAGTCCCCTGTGCCCCTTCCCTTCGCTGTCCTGGGGCTCACCTGAGGGTAGTAAGTGATCCCACTGGCCTGGCAGACACGCTTGCTGCCAGCTGGGTTCTTCTGAGTGGGCTGCCCAGTTTTGCTACAGTAGCGGTGGGAATCGTGCCACCGGAGGAGGGACTGGGCCTGCAAGCACAGGAGAGAGAAACACACAAGTTTTAGTTTTATTTTTATACTTGTTGCAAAGAGATGATTCAGAGCAGTCCCCCCGGGATAATATTTTGCGTGCAGTCGCGGGGACAAACTCTTGATTGTCTCTGGAAGCCTCAGAAGGGTAAATGAAGCACGGGCACTGCTTTGGAAAACGGCAGATTTCTGCATCCTGCTTCCAAATTTGAGTATGTTTGAGAGAGGTGGGGAATTGGTCCTGTTTGGGAGGGGCTGTAATGGGAACTGGACTATTCTGAAGAGTCTCCAACCCTGAATATCTTCTTAAAAACAGCCCAGTCATCACAAACTATAATTATACAGCAGGAAACACGAGCTATTTCTCCTTATGGGTCAGGACAGCTGATTTTTCACACACAGGGCTTCCAAACAGAGGCCATCTGCAGAGTAACCAGCTTATAAATGAGTAGTTTTAAAAGAGCAGCTCTGAGAGAAGATGTGTAAGTTTGTCTGTGACATTCAGTTTGCCCCTATTACAGAAATCTAGTGCCTGATAGTTGCTGATCTGAGGGCAAACTGGGATTGCTGTGACTGCTGCTAAAACCAGCACATTTCACACTGAACATACAGCAGGTGGATGCTAAATGGCATAAATTACTGCAAGTCATTTTTAAGCCACTTGTCTGTTTCCTTTTCCACCGCCTCTTGCTTTTGGGATGACAAATTTGGGAAAACTGGTGTAATTTAGGGTGTGTGTCTGCACCCAGGTCCCTGAAAGTGTACAGCAGGTGTTTCCACAGCGTGTGTTAGATCATAAAACAATATGGGAGACAAGGAGAAGGGTTGATATTGGAGATCACAGCTTCTGGAAGGAAGAAATCCAGTGCAATACCGAAGCCAGCAGAGGAGAATCCTTCCCATCCACCACAAAGAGAGCCTTTCGGAGGTCAGTGAATGATCCCTGGAGTTCAGACTCAATGACTGATTTCTCCAAAGCTCCTGTTAATTTAAAAAAAAAAAAATAGAAATAACAACAAAATCTTTGATCTCATAAATTCCAGTTTTTAATCCCAACTTTCCGCCTGTCATTGTTCCGGTATACAATTTCTGGAAGTTGCCACGGAAGTGACACCACATCAGGGGTAACATTCCCAAATGTTCAGTGGCTGCCAACAGCCCACCTTCACTGTCACACACACAGGCACAGCACCAGCAGGGTGCAGTCCACGGCTGTGACCTGCCTCACTCACACCAGCTCCTGCAGATCCCCCCTCCCAGCACATGTGCAGCCCAGGAGCGGGAATTCAGGGACACAAGCCAACAGTGCATGCTCATCCCAGGAACAGGAATGCTGCCTCAGCACACTCAGTGCATCCCACTGATGCTGGCACTGGTGGAAGAAGAGTTATCCCAACCTAAATCCAGGGCAAAGTGTGGTACGTGCTCGTCTGAACAGCCGATCAGCACCGACTCCTCCATCCACTGCCCGGCCTCTGGGAATTTCTCCAGGATCCGTCGTGTCTCTGAACAGCCGGGAAAGGGGAACAGAAAGCTGTGGTCAAAGCAAATCCATGCAACTGGGATGCCCCTCTGGATCTTCAAGGCACAGGCAATCTTAGCTCACGGCCCACGTCAGAGAGGGGACCAGACAGGGTCATTGCTTCTGTCCTACACCAGCCAACACCTTCCTCTCAAAGAAAACTTTCCCTGCCTCGCACCAAAAAACCTTTGTCGGTCAGACCTTGCTGGTTTTCCTTTCTCTTCACAAGGCACAATCCCAGATTTTTAAAACTGATCGTCTCAAAGTAGATTAGGTTGATCCCACATGTGTGTGAAGAGCACGAGCTTGCGTCCACGTGCCAAGGTTTTAACTCTAAACAGTCTCTGGTTGTTAACAAACAGAATGCTGCACACAGCAGGATGTTCCTGCACAAGCTCCATGGATTTCCATCCCCTGGATCAGGGCCTGCTTGCAAACGCCTCTGCTTCGTTCCAGCTGCGTGATCCAGGAGGGGTTTCTTTCCTTACTTACCTGCTGCACTGACCTGTGGCACCAAATACTTCTTCCCAGCTTTCCGCAGGAAGGGGGAGAGATTGTGAAAGAGGTAGAAAGTTCCTGAGGTCTGGGCTTGTCTACAAAGGCTGTCGTCTTCCTTTAGCTTATTTAAGTATCTGCAGCGAGAAAATGATTGGGAAGGTGAATTCAAGATCGGGTTGAGATTGTCACTGTTATGCTTGTTTGGGTGCACTGACTTTCCACAGAGCAGGTGGGGGGCTGAATGGACAGGACAAATTTAAAGTATTCCACGTGCTTTGAGAGTTTTGACAGCTCTGGTCTTCTCCCTGTGCTCAAGAACCAGAGGAGAACTTACCTCATTTTTCTAACATAGGTGGAGTGTAACCTGCAGAGGAGAGAGGAAGCTCTTCTGTGCAGCGCTTGATAAACTGCAGCCATAGCCAACACCTACAGCTGGGCTCTCTGCCTAAAAGGAGAAGCATAAAATGTAATGCAGCAGCCCTACACAGCTAAGTTTGATTTAAAAGGTGCAGTAACCAGGTAAATCTCCCTCTCACAGAGTCCACAGAATCTGCTTTCTGAATTTCCCACTTTGGTTTCAGTCTCTAGTCACACATCAAACCCCGTTTCAGGCCATTTTTAAGACTATTTCAAGCTGCCTGGCTTTGTTTCCAGCTGTGAGTGTGCACAGGCCTTACAGAACTTGCTGTTAAGACTGGATTCAACATTCCTGTCCCAAACCCCTGTGTCCCTGGGGAAAAGGGCAGTGAAGGTGGCTGCTCTCTTGTTTGCTTCCTACACAGTTGTAATGGCCTCGATCCAACCACACATCCCACTGCAGCACACAGCGGATCTGTGGGAAAGGCACTGATGCCAGAAGGGAATGAAAGACAAAATATCAGCTGCGGAAGAGAATTCCCTGAGTTTAGACCAGAGACAGCAGTTGCAGCTGAATTGGATCATCTCCAGCTGTGGACGTTTTGTTTTTTTTTTGTTTTTTGTTTTTTGTGCCAGAGGATCCTGCCACATTTGCAGTCGCAGACTTAAGTTTGACCTCGGCTTCAGGATGTCAGGAAATAGGCAGAAACTCTGCCATCTCTAGAGCCAAAACCGATCCTTGATCCACAGTCCTTAACGATTGCCCTGGATGTTTCCCTTTCCAGCTGTGGAACTCGAAGCCCTTTAAGGAGGAAGTTACGTTTGCTTTGATTCACAGAGGCAGAAAGTGCCAGGGAAGAGTCTGAGAGCCTTTCTTTCAGCAGAGGTCAGTGATGGCTGCATGTCTGCTCATGGAGACTTTGCCTTTGTGGCTTCGGACATCTCTGCCCCGGATCCCTCTTTCCCACCGTGACAGCTGACAGGGATGATCCCTCGGGAGACAGGGCAGGCTGTTTGGGAAGCCACTGGGCTGGGGCAGCCGCCTGCGAGGACGGCGACTGTCACAGAGCGTGTGTGTCTGACAGGGTTTGGGGAGTGACAGTCGTGTGTCTGCCACTTCTCCACCCCCACGTCTCCCGCAGCCTGGAGTGTGAATTCCCCGCTGAATCCAGGATTTCTGCGCTTTGCTCTGGAACGAGCGGCACGGTGTGACCGGGGTGGGGACAAGGAGAGTACCTTGTCCCCAGAACCTCCCCTTGTTTAACCCCTCCCTCCCTGGGAATCGCAGTGCCAGGTTCTGACTCACGGAACCAGTCAGGCTGGAAAAGAACATCGAGTCCAGCCTTCGAGTGACCACCACCTCGTCAGCTGGGAATCACCGGGAATCCTTCAGCTTAACCCTGGGAGTGTTCAGGGCCAGGCTGGACAGGGCTCGGAGCGACCTGGTCTGGTGGAAGGTGTCCCCTGATCCGGACCACGGAGACCAAAAACTGGCGGACTCCCTGGCTGGGCTGCGAGCTCCAGCCACGCCGAGCGGGCTGTGCCTGCCCTTCCCCAGGGATTTCCCGCACTTACTGCGCCCCGTGTCCAGCAGCGGGGATCGGCTGGGAAGGCGCCAGGCTTGGTTGGACCAGCGGCGGGGATCAGCTGGGAACGTCCCGGTAGTTTTAACCTCCCGCAACATCCAGCGGAGCGCGGCTCTCGCCGGGCCGGCCGCTCTTCCCGCTCCGGGAGCGCTGGGAAATGTAGTTCTGCACAGCCCAGGGCTGGCGCTCCGCATCTGGAATAACTTCTGAATAATTTCTGCGGTTCGTGAGGCTGCCCGAGAGTAATCTCCTTCCCCCCTCCACCCCCTTCCCCCCCGCACCTGCTTCGTTCCATCAGCAATCCTGCCTTTGGCCAAACAGGAGTTACGATGAGAACGCCGCTACTGCAATAATTCGAGCTGTTCTTAGCACCGGAGTTTGTATCCTGGTGGTAGTTTCTTTCTCTTTTTATTTATTTATTTATTTATTTATTTATTTTTAAAATTTCTTAATTCCCAGCTTCTCCGGGCTGTTGTGTCCATAACATCAGAGCGCTGTTCAAAGTTGAGGACCGTGTGTCCCCAGGCAGGGAAACGTGCCAGGAGCTGCATAAATCCAAAGCCTGGAGCTGTTCAGTGTTCCAGCACCCAAAGCCACAGCTGAGTTTGTCAGCGAATTTCTCCGATCGGGGGGGGGGGGGGGTGTCTGTGCTGTGCCAAGGCACATGTCAGAATCATGACAAATCATTTTCATTCCTTTATAAGTGAACAAACAGATTCCTCTCGAGTACTGAAAACATTATTCTGGGCTGGGACCTACGTGGCTATATTTAGCACAAAGGGAATTTTATAAACATAAGTAAAGTAAATGTTTTCAGGGCAGCCTTTTGCTTTTTGGTCGTGAATTGGGCCGTTCTCATCGAGAATTCACGTCATGTAATTTGAGAGCGTGGCTTGTAAAAATAACAAACAAAGCATGCAAGGAAACAGGACTCTTACCAGTTACTTACAAATTCAGGTTTAATTATGCTTGACTGCTATTTGTGGGCTTCCTGAGACAGAGCAAGCCCCATCTTACTAATCCACTGGGCTAATTGGATTAATGGACAAAACACATCTTCCCTTAATAAGATAAAGGATTGAAATATAATCTCCCAGGGAAGTATCCACCCTGCTGTTAAAACAAACTAACAGATTTATCGACCCTGACTGGCCCCAGAAACGGCTCTTGCAAGAAGAGCTGGTTTGAGAGGGAAGCAGCTGGAGGAGGCACTTTGGACCTCAAAACTGGCAGTGTCTTGGTGAGTGCACCCTGTCACGTGAAGGATTAAAAAGCCAGAGCTCTCCACTGCAGTGTCAAAGCCTCCTTTGAAGGCAGGGCAGTGTTGTGGCCTGTAGTTGCTGCATGTGAAAAACCACATTGATAAGCCCAAATCATGCATACCTGGCTCGTGTGTTGGGGCAAGATGTGCAGGGAAAACGGGATTAGAGTCACTTCTGCTCCTGGTCTGAGCAGTGGGAAGCCAAGGAGCCTGGGAGAGATTCCCTTTGCCTTCTCCAAGGGTCTGTGCATTAATTGCCCTGTTAAATATTTCTGCAGGACATAAGCAGGGGAGGTGATTTTAAAACAGAGGCTTTCCTGTCATTCGTTCCCTTCATAATTTAATTTAAGGAGCACAAATACCAGTTGTTGCTTTGGCACTGAGTTGTTTCAAGTATTTTTGGGCTCTGAGCTGTGTGAATTGCATCTAAAACTGCATGTATTAGTCCCCTGCAGACACTGCACTCCGTGCTAGGAGCAATCCTGGGAGTGAAGGGAAGGCCTGGCCACGCAAATCCCATCCCTGAGATTTATGTAGCTTCTAATTTAGGCTTTGGCAGGTCCCCAGGGGAAGTGAATCCCAGAGACTCTCCTGATGCAAGAAGAGCAAACAAAAGGGGCAGGCAAAGAGGACACAAGCAGTAAGAAATGCTTGCCATCTCCTATGTGGACAGGATTGCAAACCAGGTAAATCTTTGGTCCTGTGTTGCTTAAGATTATTAATATTTTTTTTTTTAACCTGGGTTTGTAAAATACTCATATTGGGATTAATAGTTGGTAAAAGGTTGTGTTTTTTTTTTTTTTCCCCAAGCCAAAAAAGTGGCTGGAAAATGTAATTATAGGCTAATAATAGTTATACTGCTAATCTCATTTTTTTTCTCTCTGTTTTGTGTCTCTCCAGCTGCCCCCAATAAGCAGAAATAAGCATTAGAATTGCTAACAGCTGGCCATTGTAAAGCAACTGTTAACTGCCCTAAATATATGAAACTAGCAAATTCACATTGAAAACTCACAGTCAAGCCACAAGGAACCTCTTGGCAAAAAAAATACTTTTTTTTTTAGGACAAGCCTAAGGAAAGACAAACCACTTCTTTAAAGAGAAAGTTAACGAGTAGTCTTTCCCCTCTGTCATTACATTTTAAATGCAAACTAAGCCAATCTGGCTCTTCTCTGAGGTTAGATTTGTGTATATTATATATATGATGGGCTCCTATGGTTTCTCACACTCAGGGTGGGGACCCTGAAAGAAAAGAAAGCGCCTAATTTGATCTGCTGGTTACATCCTGTGCTCCTGAGCCCCTGACAGGGGGAGAGGGGACACTTGAACACCTTGAGGGGCATTTTCCTGGGATTTGTTTCAGGTCCACACGTGGGATTTGCCTTTCCCCTCCCTTGGGAGGTTATGGAATATCCTCAAACTCTGGGGCTGACTTGCACTGCACAAAATAACTGAGGGCAGAACGTTGACTGCGGGTTGATGGCTTAATTTTGGGAGCAGGCTGGTGGGAAACCAGATCCCTTTACAAAGGGCAAAACCTCAGCTGTGGCTATACCTTAAAAAAAAAAAAAAAAAAAACAGCTAAGCTTTTTGAGCTAATGGATTGATATAAAATTGATAAAAAGTCCAAGAGGACAACGAGCGTGATTAAAGCCTTGGCCACGACAGGGAGCTCGGTGGGCTCTTAACTCCAGCCTGGGTAAGTCAGCTGGGGCCCAAATCCATCACTCTGGAGCCTTCAGCCCCATGCTGAGCAACACAACCCTCACACCTGCTTGGTGCTGTTCTCCACTGGCTTCCTAAAAATACCTGGATAGTGCAAAAAAAAAAAACGCTGAGGAAGCAGCAGATCTCGCTAGAAAAAAAAAAAAATCTGAACGCGCCTCTCCAGTGTAGGAGGTTTTGCCAAATCTCTGGAAGCTGCTGTTAAATCTCTGGCTACATGTTATGGACTCTTTGGATAACGGGGTTTTAACTGGATTCCTCAGCTAGAAGCTTGGATATCATTCCAGTGTTTCCTGCTAGTTGTAGGAGTTATATTTCTGTTGGAAGGCGACCAGAACGAGAGGAAAAGGAAGGCTTATTTTTTGACGGATAGTTCCACTGAAAACTGGCCTTATTCCTGCTCTGGAGCAGCAGCACTCGCAGTGCTGGCCCTGTGTGGACACATCTGTGTCCACAGCTGGACGAGAAAGGGCCATGAATTCACTTCCTATCTCAGAGCCTCCCCCAAAATGGGCCGTAACACCCGGGGTTTGCCCTTCCCGAGGCACTGCTGAGGGAACAGTTTAGGGAAGAAATCTTAGTTGTGGATGGTGCTGCAACCCCCAGTTCCCTCTGCTGAGCAAAGTGGGTTTAAGCCAGCTCAGTCATTCCAGTAAAGAACGTGTGTTAGAGGGGGATTTCGACCCCTGTTTTGGGGGGCTTGACCCCTCCGTGTTTATAGTTGTGAAAGATTTCCAGCTGGGAGTGACCAAAAATGTCTGCCTTAGGAGGAGGGAGACTGAAGGCTGGTTATGCTGCTGAGGAGGTAATTCATTATTTGAAGCCCAGATCTAAAGAGAAAGGAAAAAATGCTGTTGAATGTCCCTGATTCCAACTCAATTGCTGGAATGAGTAACTGGAATCCTAGAAAACAACTGACCTGTCATGGCAAGACACATCCAAGCACCTTATTAATGCCTTTCTGTGATAGCTGAGACCTCCTGCTGTCCCACAGAGAGGGCTGATAGTGGTTTGTGATGCAGGTTTTGCTGCTGCCTTGCAAGTTGGGATCAGCTGAGATGGAAGCCCTGGAAGGAAGGAAGGAGGGAAGGAAGGAGGGGGCTGCTTCAGCAGCAGCACTGGAGGAAGGCACCCAGCAGTGTGGAAATGTCTTCACCTGAGCTGGCAGGAGGTGAGTGAAAGGCTTGGCTGGTGGGACAGAAACTGTGCTGTGAAATGCAGCAGATGGCACTGGCAGGAGAGAGGGAGGTGCAAGGCTGCTTTGGGATCACAATTATCCACAGACATTAAAGCAGCAGTCAGAGAGAGGGGACACAACACTCTGTCTCAGAAAGAAATGAGGATCTGGGCAGGTTATACCGAACTGTGCAACTGGTGTGAATCACCAACGTGCCACCGTGGTCAGGGAGCGGATCCCGATGGGAATGTCTGTTCAGGATTGTCAGCTGGGAGCTGATCCCCTCCTGGATGTGGGACTTGGGCTTGTGGGGCTCTGCTAGGCTCTCCTGGGAAACAGGGACACTGCTGGAGGTGGGAGTTGAAATCACAGAATCATAAAATCATAGAAAAAAAATATCCTGAGCTGGAAGGGACCCATCAGGATCATCGAGTCCAACCCCTTTCCCTGCACAGGGGACCCCAAGAACCCCACCATGTGCCTGAGAGTGGTGTGGCCCTTTGCAGGGTGGGCTCTGTGATCCCAGAGGTCTCTTCCAAGATTCCAAGATTGTGACCGCGGGCTCGGCTGCCCCGGGGCTGGGCAGGGCTGCACGTGGCGCCTCCCGGCCTTTTTAGGGCCTTTCCTGGCGACTTTTGCTCCCAAACCCCGACACTTTCAGCTAAACCCTTTCTTCTTGTCTCGGTGCTGGTTTTACACCCCCTGCCCCCGCTGGTGTCGGTAGAGCCGCACCCGCGTGTCCTGGTGTCCCCCTAAGGTGTGGGGTGTCCCCTCCCGTGTCCCGGTGTCCGTCCCGGTGTCCGTCCCGGTGTCCGTCCCGGTGTCCGTCCCGGTGTCCGATGGCGGCGGCCCGGTGGGACCCACGTGGAGCCCCGCGCGGCGCATGCGCAGTGCGGCGGCCGCCGCTGTGACCGGGCTCACGTAGCGCGCGGGGCGCCCCGCCCCGCGGGGAGGGGGCGTGGCCTGAGGGGGCGTGGCCGGCGAACCCTTAAAGGGCCCTGCGGGGCGGTCGCGCGCTCAGTGTGAGCAGCCCCCGGGCAGGACGCGGAGCTCTCGCAGCGGCGCCGCCCCCCGCCCCGCCGACACCCCGTACCACCTCCCCCGCGCTCAGGTGAGGCCCGTCCGCCCCCGCCGCGCTGTGGGCGGGCGGGGTGGGTCAGCTGAGGGCAGCGCCGCGGGTCCGGCCGCCGCGCGGGCGGGCGCGGGTGGGTTGGGGGCGATACGTGGCAGCGCCCCGCGGCCGCCGCCCCCGCGGCGAGGGGTCCCGGCGCTGCCGGCCCGGTGCTCCCGGCCCTTACGTAACGGGAGCCGGCAGCCTCCGGAGGGGGGCGGGAGGGCGCCGCCGCGCCGGCTTCCCCGCGCCTGGCAGACTAAACACACCCGCCGCCTCCTCCTCCTCCTCCTGCTCCTCCTGCTCCGCGTCCTCCCCCGCCCGCTCCCCGAGCACCCCCGGCTCGGCTCCCCCGCCCTCCCCGCAGCCCCGGGATGGACGGGGAGCTGCTCGGCCTGAGCGCGGTGTGCGGGGATGGCCCCGCCGGGGATGGCCCCGCGCTGCGTTTCCCCCCTCCCCGCTGTTTCCCAGCCGCTCGCTTTGTGCGGGATTTCGCGCCGGCAGCTCTTTGCCCTGCAGTGCGTGTGTGTTTGTGTGTGTGCTTTGATAGCAACCTAAACCTGACCGGCAGGAGAAACTCCCGACGTGGAGTCCTTGGGCTTTGCCGGTGAATAGAATAAAGAAAATAAAAACGTCACGCGTACTTATTCCAGTTTACCTGAAAAGTAAAGATCCTTCAGGACTGCAGACACCCAGCATTCGGTTTAACTTTGTTTTTCCTGCCGGCCTCAGTAAGAGGAGAATGCAGAGTGCTTTTAAGTGTTCACCTACCTGTGATTAAGTGAAGGTTCCGTGCTCAAGGGTTTAGTGAATGAAAGAAGCCATTGGTTACAAGAATAAATAAATAAATGCAGCTTCCCACAAGGCCAGGGGCTGTTGGCTGAGCGTGCAGACAGTGCTCTGCCAGGGGCGGAAAGTAAAGGTAATGAGTTCCTGGTCTGTCTGGGAAGCAGAGGCCTCCTGTTGGGTCAGAGATGTTCTCTGCCCTACTGCTCTACTCTTGGAGCATTGCTGGATCCTTTTTAATGCCTTAAACCACCCTGCCAGGCATTTCATTTGACCTGGAGTACTCTGCACTGCTCCTTAGGTATGTGCTGACACAACCAGGACTGATTAACTTTCTCCTCCCTTTGTTTTCTTCCCCGAGCCAGCTCTCTGACCTGTAGAGCTTTAAACGAGTAGGTTCAAATTCTGGCGTTTGAAGCTGTGATTTCAGGGCTCGCATGTAGATTGGAAAATTCCCAGTGCAGTTTGACAGGCAGAAATGACAGGTAGTGAGTTAACTCTGGAAGGAGTGAGGATAAATAGAGGTTTATGGGAGGAAAACTCTGCCTCCTCCAGTGCTGAGATTGATAGAGGTGAGGAAACCCCTTTTCTTCACGAGAACATCCTCCTTGAGAAAAACCTCACTTCACCTGTCAGATCATTGGGATTGTCCTGCTTTCTTTGCAACCACTCTTAATATCTGAAAACCTTCTAATCTCTGTAGGTGCTCTGCTGCTCCTTGAGCAGAAGGGTAAACAGAAGGACAGCCTCCTGCTTGTTGTGTCTAGTAAGATAAGTGCTCCATTCCATCCCCAGTGTTCACTGTCTTGGCTTTAGAAGTTAAAACAAGAGGCCTCTGGGGGCTGTGTGTCCATTCAGTCTTCGGCTGGAAGAAGCCAAGGGAAAACTTGCTGCAGTTCCCTGGGTACAAAAACACTGAGTGCTCCGTACTCAGACTCACAAATGCTGTCTTCAGCTTGGCAGCGAGTGGTAATTAAAACACATCACCCCTACTTGATGCTAAAATTGATTCTCGTCTCTTACTAGACTAGATTATTTACATAGATAAGGTTCTGTTACAACTCTGTCGTTGAAAGAAGCCCGAAACACGCCCCGTTCTTTTGGTAGCAGCGATTGCTGAAAATCTTCCTTCTCTCGCTGCTCGAATCTGAATTTTAAACCAGCTTTGGCCGTGCTGGAGGACTTGGGAACTGGATTCCAGTGTTTCTGTCCTGTGAGACTGTTAAGAAACGGTGACAGCTAAATGTTCTTGGTACTTATTCTGCGAATTTCTTTCCTTTGGAGTAGTATTTCCAGGCACATCGTGTGATGAGGCTGTAACTTGGGTTGTCCTTGAGACAGGAGAGGTTTTGGGCAGCGAGCAGCTATCACTTCCAGTGCCATCCTCTCCACTTCCCCCAAACTCAGCTCAGTTTTAACTGTCTGGGGTTTTTTCCTGTTATTTTTTATATGCAGTGGGATACAGTAAGGATTGGGAGAGCGAACACGAATTTAAATCAAAAGTGGAGAACCCTGATGACGTGGTTTTGTCTCCTGGCCTTACCTTCATTTGGAGTAGGCCCCTAATTCCTTACCTAAATAAAGAAGCTGGTTTAGAATTAAGTTGGAATTATTCTGGGATAGCTCTGTGTTGAAGTACAGCCTCAGCTTCCATTTTTTTATCCCGTTTTCTGGATCCTGGTAAGCACCTGGGAGCTCGGAGCTGGAAACGAGGAGACTTGTCCAACGAGCATCTCCAGTCTTGGGGCACTGATTGGTGACCTTGGTCGTGGTGAGGTCACATCACTGCAGTTTGTCTTCATTTTTCCTTCTGCTTGCATGTCTCTACCTGTAGGGCTGAGCTGAACTCTTGAAGCAAAAGTCCTCAAAACCCCATCTCTGTGAGTTTAATGAGTTGAGAAGGTGTTTTTGTTGCGTGTCCCTGCTGTCTGGGGAATCCTGTGCCTCGCCTGGCAGTGCCATTCCTCTACTTGCTGCTTTGTTTTGCTTGTATCCACACGTTTGGTTGCTCTTCACTACTTTTTCCCATTCCTGTGGGTATTTTTTTTTTGGGCTTTGCCATGTTTGGTGAATGCACTTCTGGGAAGTGGGGAAGCTCCTGTGTTCAAGGCTGTCAGCTGGACTCCCACTTCCCTCCATGGGTAGTGATTCCCTCCTCTCCAGGGTTCTCAATTGCCATCTTTGTGTTTTGCTGGGGAGGAGAGTGAGACTGGCAGGAATAACGGAGGGAGGATTTTCATCTTGTTTTACTTCATGTCACCGACAGGAAGAAATTAAACCTACTTACTTGGCAGCTTGTGCTGCGTCCAAAGAGATTTCCAGCATCTGTCTTAACCAAGCTTTATTCTCTTTGATTTTGGGAACCTGGGGCTGGTCCTGCAGCAGTTGGAAAGCTCTGCTACTTAGCAACTGCTCTTAGGGGCAGCATGAGCTTGGCTGGCTCCCTGTCCAAGTGAGGGAAGGAATCTTGGGTGGCTGAAAGCTATTAGGGGAGTCAGAGACTACAGGAAATGCGGGAAAGGAAGGAAAAAATCAAGCTGGAGGTGACCCCTGGATGTCACCTAACCTAACCTGTTCCAAGTTGGGCGAGCCTGGGGGTCTGGTTAGGCTGCACATGGGCTCATCCCGTTTCCTTTTGAAATCCTTCCAGGAACTGGAAATCCAGTTTCTCTGGGCAGCCTCTTCTTAGTGCTGAACTGGGAGAAGCTTTGTGTTTCTGCCACCTTGGAATTCCTCTCGTTTCAGTTTGGGGCCGTTGCCAGTCGCTGGTTCTGCTGTGTGCCTGTGGAGGTACAAGGTGGGAAGAGGGTTGCAACAACATTTGGAGGAGCCTGGTGTTGGAGCAGGCTAAAAAGCAGCTGGAGAAGAGGAAAAACGAGGTCTCTCAGAGCAGTACACAGAGAGGAAACATTGTTTTCATCACCTTTTTGCTGGTTTTGTTTGGTTGTTTTGTTTCGTTTCAGAGAAGTTTCCTATTGATTAGTAGTAGAAAAAGTAAACTTTCCGAAGCTTTTCCATGTGTTTTTTCACCGAGTGCAGTAAACAAATAGCTGAGTGAATTCCCGGCACTGATAAGGCTGGCAAATATTTCTGGTGTAGTGGAGCTGTTTGTGCTTTGTCACTGATTCACAGCTGTATTGGCTCGAGTGCTGACTGAGCAGGAGGATCTTGGCTTTCTGCAGGGGGAAGTACAGATGGAGTGGTGGCTTTAGGTGGTTTTAGCAGGTCCAAATCAGTGGTTTTATTAGTTTGAAGTAGCCTGATGGAGCTGTGGAGCGGCTGAGCCAGGAGGAGGAGGAGGAGGAGGTGAGGAATGCTGCTGTGGACAGCATTCAGAGCCTTGCAGATGCTGAGGGGCCTGGCTTGACCGGGGGAAAAGTAAAACTCCAGGCTCCCCTCTCCAGATTTTCACTTGCTTTCTGCCAGTGAGTGTGTAGGAATGTTTTCAGCCCTTCAGCTGTGGTCCTGCAGGTTTCAGCCGCTTTCCAGGAGCTGGAGGTTGTGCTGCTTTTCTAGGCTCGAGTTTCCCGTTGTTCCCGTCAGTGCCAGCGAAACCGGGCTCGTCCTGTCCAAGAGGCAGCTCCCAGGGTAAATCTAAACCCCAGGGCTGTTCTTTTTGGAGTGCTGGTGGTGGAAAGGAAAGGAGGGAGCTGCTCCCAGACCCTCAGGTGCAATGTGAGATCTGTGCTCTGGAGCCAGGGATGTGTTCCCTGTCAATACCCCCACTTTTGGGTGGGATGGTTTTGCTTTGGGTGCAGCTTTTGGGTTTTGCTGCTGTTGTTTATACCTTCCTTGTGTGAAGCCAGGCACACCTGGGTTTATGTTGTTTGCTCTTAGTTCTGTCAGCTCAGTCAAAAACATGTTGCTTTCTTCCCTAAATAGGCCAAACCACTTTGTAGCTGGGCTTGTTGCTTTTTTCTTTTTTTTTTTTTTTTAATTGCTTTTTTTTTCCTTCTCCATCAGTTGTCTTGCTGTTGGAAGAGTTGTAAAACCAGCCTCTGTCAGCCTGTCCCTTTTCCTGAGCAGATACAGTACGTGAGAGAGTTCAAGCTTTTGTTTGGAAAAAAAAAGAGTAAACCTTGCGAATTCCACGACAGCATAATTACTTCTGAAGTCTGCAGGAGCCAGGCAATCCTGGGCTGCTGAAGGGATCAGGAGCCTGAAAGGCTGAGAGCTTGGCAGCTGGCCCTGGGAGAAAGCACCGCCGTGGGCTTTTCCAGGATCCAGGGACAGAGCAGCCTTTTGTGTCAGGTGTGGAGCTCGTTTTCGTGGTGGCAGCCGAGGAGCGGGGAGTGTGCCCCTCGCTCCCCCTCTGAGCTGCTCGTGTGGGGTTTTCATTTAGACCTGTTCCACTGGCATCTTTCTGACTGAAAAAGGCAAACTTGGGGCTTTTTTTCATGGAGTGGATGAACTCGACAATGGGTATTTTCACTGGGTTGTTACGGGGTTTTGTCGGTGTTTGATCTTGGGGTTTTCGGTGCTTTTTTGCAAAACGGCTCCATCTGCAGTGGGACTTGGATGACAAAAAGAAGAGGCTCTGAGCTATTGTTCTCTTCCCACAGGAGACAAAAGTGTAAGAAAGTCAGTAGAAGGGCATTAGTCCTCTGAGAGCTGCCCAGGCCTATCAGGATTCTGCACTAGTGGCAACCCCACTGTCTCTTCTCAAGGTGGATTCAGCTCTCTGGTGAACAGGGATTTTTTACCTGTTTTTTTTGTTTGTTTGTTTCTGTCACAGGTCTGTGGTGAGGTGACAGCTGTTGAGCAATGGCCTTCAACAAGGTTTGGTGTGCCCTAACCCTTGGATTTCTGCTGCCTTTTTCTTGTGCCCACACGGACTTCTTCACTTCCATTGGTGAGACATCCTTTGCTGTACCTGCTGTGTAGCCAAGAGAGTTTCTTGACAGCTCTCACTGCTGCTCCTGCTCTGTGTTAATCACCCAGGGGCTTTAATTGCTACAGGGTTAAACCCACTTCCTAGTTCTTACCACGTTACTGACTTTCCTTTGAGGAGAAACAGGCTCTAAGTCAGACCAGGTAGTCTGATGACCCAGGCTAGGCTTTGTAGTCGTTATTTATTCTTACAGGTTTTGGAATTCAAACAGAATTTTGGTGTGGACTGTTGCACCTATGTGGAAACGAGTGGAACAGCTGCACAGTGATGTGGAATGTCAGTGTGTGCTCACCCCTGGGTTCTGATGGCCTGGGGCACAGCTGAAGGTGGGGGCTGGACCAGTTCAGCTGCCTTCTCGCAGGAAATGAAGCAATTATTAATTAATGCCAGGCACCCACTGAAGTCATGGAAATCATCTGAAAAATGAAGCTCTGGATTAGTCTGTCTATCAGACACGGGTGCTTTGTGTATTTCTGCAGCTTTCTCTTTATTTGCTCTACATTATGTATGCTTGGATGAAAGATTACTCTGTGGCAACCTACTTCCTTTTCCAAATGAATCCGAAATTGCTTCTAATAATAAATATGTGGTATTACATTAATTTCCATGGCAACGAGCTTGGTCCAGCAGGAGATTTTTCTCCTTCAAAAAAAGCCTTACTCAAACAGTCCTTCAGGGTTATTTAAGCAAATGGAGAAGGACTTTGGGGAAGGCAGGGAAAGTAGAAAAGAGGAAGAATGCCTTTAATTCCCGGAGTTTTTTTTGTTTCTCCTTGAGTCACCAAACTCCTTTGTTTTCCAGGCCATATGACAGACTTAATTAACACAGAAAAAGATCTGGTGGTGTCACTGAAGGATTACATCAAGGCAGAGGAAAGCAAGCTGGAGCAGATCAAAAAGTAAGCAGTTTGTTTCACAATGCTGATGGTTAATAACTGGGAGTCCACCCTTATGCAAAAAGCGCTCCCTGAGGCTGATTAAATTTGTGGAATTTTTCCTCTGAGGCAAAGCTTAAACCGGCAGGTTTTGCTGGGTGTTTGTCCCATGTTGTTCCCTCCGAGCCATCATTTGTGCAGCTCCCAAGTGATGGAATCTTTCTGTACAGCACTGTCACTTCAGGACTCCTGCTTGGCACGTAATTCCCAAGGGGATGGAGTTCTTGGAATGACAGTTTGCTGAGTGGAAGCTGAAACCCAAGAAACACCAGATGTGAACCACTAGAAAGTGTTGGGGTGGCCACTGAATAGTAATACCCACTGCGAGGGCACAGACTGTCTCTACAGATTTTACTCTATTTAGATTTAAAAATAAAATAAAGCAAAAAAACCCTTCTTGACTGCTTTTAAAAATAATAAGAGACCTGACCATTATTGTGGTCCTCACACCTGTAGGGCTGAGCAACAGAGCCCAACATGTCAGATTTTATCCCTGTCACTGAACAGGATGCTTTCCTGGCTTTCAGAAACGTGTGTAAATCTGTCTGGAGGATGTTGAAACACTTTTAGATGGATGGATGGATTTTTGTTTCATTGTGTATGACTTTCTGTGGTGTTCTCCCAACCGGGAAGGAAGGTACTTCTGTCAGACTGGGTTTATTATTTATCACTTAAAGTACAGAGCTGGAATTGCTGACAGGTTTGGAATGTTAGAAGTGTATTCTTCACAGCTGCAAACTGACATGGGAATGTGCCAACTGGACATCCAAAAGGGTGTAAATGCAGCTTACTGTCCTGAGTGCTGCAGCTCTGTTTTTATGATTTCAGAGGAGCTGTCAGGTCAGAATAAGTTTTATCTCTGTCAATGGAGATAAAAGCCCCTGGAAGAAATGCCAGCATTGTTTGTTGGGCCCTGCCCCTTGGCTGAAGGATATTGGGAGCTGCTGTTCACTCCAAGTCAGGGAAAGCTGGTAATTCCCTGGAATGTGGAGGATGGCTCAGGCCTCGTGTGGGGGCTTTTATTAAGGAGAGAAACGACTTGAAAAAAACCCTGCAAGCTTAACTGAGGCAAACCAGGTTGTGGAACATGCTGGTGGACAGAGTTCCCTCCAGGCTGCAGATTTTTTTGTATTTGCCTTCTGTTGGAGTTTGGTTTTGTCTGTGGGGTGTGGCTTTTTAACATTAATTTACCCTGATTTCAGGGTGTTGTTTCGTAGAATCTGCATTGTTTGGGAGCACTTTGGGGTTGGGAATGACTTCTGGCACTTAGAGAGGATTGTGGAGATGGAGAAGCAGCACCCAGGAATGGGATCTGAGCTCCTTGTCCTTTCTTTAAGCTTTCAGCTTTGTGGTGGGATAAGTAAGGAGAGCTTATCACAGATGTAAGAGCGTGTGTCTGAACATAAAATAACTTGAGACGAGCGTTGAACTGCCTTTTTGTAAACTTAAAGGGGAAAAAAACCACCCCATTTAAAAAAAAAAAAAAGATTGCAAATGGGGGTAAAGCTTTGTTTTTGATTAGTCCTGCATGGACAGCTCATAATGGAAGTGCTGGCACGGGGCTTTGGGGGCTTGGAGAAAGGAGTTCCTTCAGGCAGGGTCCCAACAAAGACAGCAAAAAGCAGCACAAGGTTTGAGCTGCAGCTGAGGAAGAAGATTGAAAAAAAAAAAAAAGAGGGGAAAAAAAAACGGAAAATGGCCTTTTTTGCTCCTTCTAGGAGACTCTATATATAGATCATGTAAATGCTTGCAATTTCTGTTGGGTTTTTTTATTAAGGAAGACACTTGAGTAGCTTGAAATCAGTTCTCCAGAGCATCAGCAGACTTGTGCAAGACTTTAATGAGGGTGTGTTTTCATTATAGATGGGCAGAGAAATTGGATCAGCTGACAGCCACTGCCACAAAAGACCCAGAGGGGTTTTTGGGACATCCTGTAAATGCCTTCAAGTTGATGAAAAGGCTCAACACCGAGTGGGGTGAGCTGGAGAGCCTGGTCCTGAAGGACATGTCAGATGGTGAGTGTGCCTGCAGGAAAAAAAAAAAAAACAAAAAAAACCAAAAAAACAGGATCATGTGCTAAATGCAGTTCCTTGGCTGTGTCCCTCACATGTCAGGGTTTGAATGGGGGTTTGTGAGGCTGCTTTTGAGACTGAGCATTTGTGGAACCGATCTGAATTAGTGTGGTTAAACACTCTGCTGCCTCTTTGCTCTTCAGCAAGAGACAGGACATGAAATGCTTGACTGTGAAAGGCACTTAGCAAAAGGAAGCCAGGAGGGTTATATTTGACCTACGAGACTCCCTCAACAGCTAATACCAGGTGGAGGTTTGTAGGAAGGAACTATTATAAAGCAGAGCTTTCAAAAAGACCCAGGATTCGTCTCTGATCAGAATGCAGCGCGTTCAGCTTCCCTGTGGCTGTGAGAGGGACTGAACATGCCAGCTGAAAAGGCTGTGCACCTGCCAGCCACAAATCTGCACTGGTGTGTCTTAAACCCTTCTTCTGAATGGGGGGGGGGTGGGGAATAAAAAAGAAAGTCCATTTTTTGTTATAAGGAGAAAGGAAAATATGGGGGGAAGTGCAGTGCAGTAAAAGAAAAGGAAGCATGGGAGGAAAAGGATATTGGATTTTTTCCCATAATGGAATAGAGTTATGAGTTCTGAATAGTTAAAAAGGACTGCCAGAGTGTGGCAAAAATCACAAATTTGGCCAGTTTACTATTTTCTGGATGGTTTTGCCAGTTGAGTGTTGCATATTGCACTTGGGCCGGTTTTGGTCATGCTGCTTAGACTTCTGCTAGTGGACATTAAGATTAATTTAATCAGCATCATGTTGGCACTGCTTGGGGCAAAAGAGGGGAACAGTTCCTTGAGAGAATATTTTTTACTTTATAGAACCTCTTGGGTCTGTTCAACAAACACCCCCCTCGTGCTGCCACAAAAAGCCCCCAAATGTTTCTTTTGGACTGTTCCTTTGCTTTCTTTAATTAAAAAAAAAAAAAAAACAAACCACCAAATGCTACTTGTGCAGCATGTGCCATGAGTTCAGTTGAGAGCTGTGTGAGGGTGGATCTTACAGAATTCCCAGGACAAAGCCAAGGGTTTCCCTGTCTTTCCCAGGCTTTATCTCCAACATGACTATCCAGCGGCAGTTCTTCCCGAACGATGAGGATCAGACCGGCGCAGCCAAAGCCCTTTTGAGGCTCCAGGACACGTATAATCTGGACACAGACACCCTCTCCAGAGGGAACCTGCCAGGTAAGAGCCTGGAATTTTATTTCCAGTGGACTTTAAATGTTCACTGTTTGTAAATCATTTCCTCTCCTCCACCTTGTTCAGCTCCTCGGTGTGAAGGTAACAACGGGAAAAGGTTTGAGCGGCTAAAACTTGGGAAAAAAAAGTCTTTTTAGTTGAAATCTGTGTCTTTCTTCTAGCAATGGTAAGATAATGTAGTGTTAATAATTTTTAATGAAAAATCAAGAGCAATAAAATCTTGCCTGGGTGAGGGTTTGCCTTCTGTTGCACTGGCAGATGTAATTGCATAACTTAATGCATTTTAACAAACCAGTTCTATCCTTCATTATCCTTCTCCCTCTCAGGGATAAGATAGACCCTTCAGATTGGGAAGTTTCTTTGGGCTTAAACTTCACAGGATGTCTAAACTGAAAAGGAAAAGACAGATCTGAGCAAGTGTGGCATTACCTGAGCTGACCTTTAACAGATTTGTATGCAGGAGAGGACACGCCTCTTTCTTGTCAGGAAACTCTTTCTCTGCTCAATCTTCCTTGTTTCCTCTGTTCAAAAATAGCCCTGTGCCAACTGGCAAAAAGTCAGCTCTGTGCAATCCATCTGTGTTTTTGCAAGTGCTCATTGTGGTCAGATGCCTAATAAAATTAAGGGTAATTGGCCCTGTATGTTATGATGTATAACCGTGCTTTTGGGTTTGGTTCAAGATCGTCTCAAGGACCTACAGATTCCTTCTAACACAATAAGCAGCTCGTTACTGTTTCCTTTTAAAACAGCACAAAAACACATTGGGAAAGGTTTTGCTTCTTTTGAAGCAATGAGCTGTCCTGACTCTGTGTGATGATGAAGGGTAATGGCAGAACTTGGAAGTTCTGGAGTATAAACAAGAATGGCTTGGACTCTGGAGAGCTCCAGAGGGGAATATCCCTTGTGGTCACTTGTTTGTGTTCCTTGTTTTCCTTCCCAGGGCCAGTTTGGGTCAGAACCTCAGCTCCTGCCTTATTGCCAAATCTTTGTGAGCTTTGAGAGTTTGCAGCTTCAGGCTCAGCAAGCTGCAGTCACTGCCCATCACAGCACAAGGTGCTTTGTGAACAAAGCTGTCCTGTGGGAATACTGCACTTCACGGGAGGATTCTTCAGCAGAGCAGCTTCCCCTCTTTGAGGGCTACAGAGCTGCTGGTAGAAACGTATTAAGATGTAATCAGGAGCGTAATTTTAGCTGGAAAACTGGCAGGTCCCGTTTCCTTCTTACAAGATTAAATTTAGTTTCTTGTTGGGCCTGTATTTCCAGAGGGCAAAAAAATAGGAATCTGTAATTTTCTTGCAAGCTGTTTAATCTTTCAGAGGTCACTTAAAATGTTTCTAAAAATGACCAACTTCAAAAAAATCCCGAGCAGCTGGGAATTTACTGCCTGATGTTTTTCCTTTTCCTCCCCCTCCAAGTTGTCACTAACAAGCTGTGCTTCAGGGACTTTCAGAAAGCGATAATGTGACGTGTTTGAAAACAGATCTCTGAAACTTCGTATTTCGCTCGCTGTTGCTCTCAGAGTTGGTTCAGTGGGGGGGGGTCTGGGGAAGGTTTGTTTTATTTCGGTTTTCGCTAATGGCAAAGACATTCAAGCTCGTTGCTGGTATTCTGGGAGTGAAAATCTGCATCTGTGTGTTCTGCCAAGGGTTTACAGCCCTCATCTGAGCCTTCAGCAAGTGGCAGCCACAGAAGGGAGCTGTTGGAGAACAGAAATAAAAGTGCTGTGAGAACGAGAAGTGAAGAACGTCGCACTTAAGGACCGGTCTGGAACTTTGTGTAAACCCTGCTTTTGTTTTAAAAACCCAGGTGTGAAGCACAAATCCTTCCTGACAGCTGAGGATTGCTTCGAGCTGGGGAAGATTGCCTACACGGAAGCTGATTACTACCACACGGAGCTCTGGATGGAGCAGGCCCTGAAACAGCTGGATGAGGGAGAAGTGTCCTCTGCGGACAAAGTCTACATCCTGGACTACCTGAGCTACGCTGTGTATCAGCAGGGGGACCTGGGCAAGGCCATGGCGCTCACCAGACGCCTCCTGGAGCTGGGTATGGGAGAGGGGGGGGATCCAGCTGGGTGCTGGGGGGATGCTGGCTGTGGATTTGCCCTGGGCAGCGTGGCCTTGCCTGTGCTCTGGGCTTGGGCGTGTGTTTTTGAAAGGTGGTTTTAGTTTTCAGATGGACAGTTCGGCTCGACCACCACGCCGGGAGTGTTGGGGTTAAGGGTTGTTCCTTCTGCCTCCCAGCACTGTTGGCTTCTAACCCCTTACCCATCTTAGTCATTACTTCCTGAAATTTGCCTCTCTCCCCCTATTTTACTTGCCTGGGCCGAGATTACTTCCCATTTAGGTACAGGCAAAACCGAAATGAGTGAAACTGAAACTAAATTGGTGACACCGAAATCTCTGCAGATGATTTAAATGCAAATGAGGCAGTTGGAGGTGTAAAGCATGGAAAAACAAGAAATACAGGATACAAGACAGTGAGATAAGAGACTGTTCTGTGAAATATTAAAGTATTTGTTCTCCTGTAAATACTTTGCTGATTGACTGTGTAAAGGAGGCACTGAGAAGCTCAGAACTGAATCTAACATTAGCAAAAGCTACTGAGAGCCTTTTATAAAAGATCTGAAGCTTCTGTAAGTTCAGGGATTGTTAAAAGCTTTGTCCCCAGAAATCTTAAATCCCCTGAGGGTATTGTTTAGGTTTGCAGCTGTCTCAGTCTCATTCCCTTGTCTCTCCCTCACCGGTGGGATGGGCTGGAAGGGCCAAACCCTTTTCCTGAGTGCTGGGACCTCCGTGTGCAGTGAGGGTTTGGGAAGCACCAGTGTGCATCTTGTTTCCTCTTGCTTCCTGTAAATAGCCACTTCTGGATAGTTCCTCCCAAGCTGGAGACCTGCCAGTGATCCTCCCCTCTTTCTCTGTCAATAGATCCCGAGCATCAAAGAGCCAACGGGAACATGAAATATTTTGAATATATCATGGCCAAAGAGAAAGAAGGAAATAAGTCCAGCACGGATTCAGAAGAGCAGGAGAAGGAAACTGAGGTTAAGAAAAAGGATTACCTGCCTGAGAGAAGGAAGTACGAAATGCTGTGCCGTGGGGAGGGGCTCAAAATGGTAAAGTGGAGTAGACTGTTCTCACATGTTTGAACCCAACAAAGCAATGTCAGGAATTTGTGTGTGGTGTGGAAGGAAGGAAGTTGTTAGAGCAGCTGGATGTGTGTGTTGGATTTCTTCCCTGTTTCAATCTGTCCAGTAGAACAAAAAAGGGATACTGCCACAGGCAGGGCTGTGCTGGCTGACTTGGATGTGCTACATCAGTGTGATTAATTGAGTAAGGATGGTGGAAGTCTAGAGCTACTTAGAGAATTAAATAAGGGCGGTTTTTTAGTGAGAAAATTACTTTAATAGGACTATGTCAAGTAATGCTTGTCGAAGTATTGCACAGCAGCATCCATGTGCTGACAGTACTAATTTCTCAAAGTCAAAGCATCCTTTTAAACCTGTAACAACAGTGAGGTAGGGAAAGTGGGTTGTCCCTGTGTCTTGTCCTCAGAGCATGTTCTGTTTTTCCAAGATATTAATGTCCCATGGAAGTTCTCTGACCCTCTGGCTCTGCCTCCCTTTCAGACTCCTCAGAGACAAAAGAGACTCTTCTGCCGCTACTACGACGGCAACAGGAATCCCAGATACATCCTGGGCCCTGTCAAGCAGGAGGACGAGTGGGACAAGCCCCGGATCGTTCGCTTCCTGGACATCATCTCCGACGAGGAAATCGAGACCGTGAAGGAACTGGCCAAGCCCAGGGTAAATGCCTTATGCTCCTTTGCCTTTGGAATGTTAAATTCCACGAGGGTAAATGCCTCGTGTTCCTTTGCCTTCGGAATCCTAAGTTTCCCCCCCCCCCCCGCGTGCTTCCTGTGTGAGTGGGTGTGGTGTGTCCTGTGGAGGGCAGTGCCCTCACTCCTTGCTTTCCTCACCGTGCAGCTCATGGTGACGCTCGCTGAAGGAGATGGTGGGGAAGAGCTGGAAGTGCTGTGTGATGGGCAGAGCCAGGTGGCAGCAGGGCAGGGGTGCCAGGCTCTTCCAGCAGACACAGTTTCAGCATACGCTGATGTTCTCCAACGGAAAACAAACGTGCTGCAGCTGGGGTGCCTTGGAGTATTCCTGGTATTTGCTGGGCTTTCTGGTTTTTGCTTTTTCCTTTAAAGTCTGGAGAAGAGTGCTGTCTAGGGAAAGGCAGCCTTTCCTCTGCTCCTGGAATGCCACCTTAGTGTGCAGACAAGAAAGAATGGTTGCAGTCTCCATATCGGTGTAAAACTGGCTGCTGTCTCCCAGGCTTGGAAGTTGCCTGCAGATGAAAGAGCTTTAAGAGGGCAGGGCTTAGCTGGTGATATTTGCCTTCTTATTGACTGTGATGGCTCTTCAACCCAGTTTCAGGCACTGGATGCAAAGATTCCTGTTTCTGAGTGCAGATAATAATCTGAGGAAGGGCTGGATGTGGCACTCAGTGCTCTGGGCTGGGGGACAAGGTGGGGATCGGGCACAGGTTGGACTGGATGACCTTGGAGGCCTTTTCCAACCTCAGTGGTTCTGTTCTGTCATTCCTGAGGGGACAGTCTGAGCTGTAAGCAGGAAGTGGAGGCTTTTTCACTTCACTGCGAGGCATCCCCTGCTCTCCTGGCAGGCAGCTTTGCTGCAGGGCTGAGGATCAGAGCCCCGCTTGTTGGGCTGCAGGTGATTAATCCCCTTTGCTGCTGCATTATGTCTGTGGAATATGACCAGATCACTTCCTTAGGGAGCAGAAAACCTGTCACTGTGGTCACTGCAAGTTCTGGAACTTGCTGAGGTCGTTGTTTTCCTGTCAGACATTTGGCTCGTGGCAAAGGCTTAGGGATCCACAGGTCATTAATGCAGGAGCATCTGCATGTGGTTGTCGATCCACATATTCCCTCGTGGCTGAGGCCTTGCACGGCTCAGCAGCCAGAGGGATTGTGTTTCTGGAGACTGAAAGGTCATCTCCTTCCCAGTGCTTGGGATGTTGCCATCCTCTGGGACGACAGCACTGTCTGATCTGTGCTGGCATTATTCAGCTCGTTATTCAGCTTCGGGTGTCTCGCTGGAATTGTGGTTTGTGCCTCGGTTTTTATGTGTCTGCATTATTAGGAGCTCCCAGCACCTTTTCTTGTCGGTAGGTGTTGATTTACATAGTTTACTTTAACAGCAGAGAAATACTTGTGTGTATCTCAGGAGTACAGTATATAACCACGGATGAAGCAGTAGTTTGTTTGAGCACAGAGGAGCTCGGTGCTGCTTTTGGTATAGGAAGAACCCAAAAAGGAGGGTTTGTTCATCTTTGGCTTGTTGGGAATGATGGTGCTGCCTGGATCCAGTTTACCTGTGCAGGGCAGAGTAACAAAGCACCAGCTGCCCACGTGCCATAACACCGCGCTGCTCCCAGCAGCTGCTGCGACACAGAGGGAATGAAAGCTTCGAGCTGGCTTTATCCAGCAACTGTTCTCCTTGCTGCAGACATGGAAACAGGACTTCTGGAGAACCTGATCTTCTCTAACACTTAAAAAAAAAAAAAAAAAATAACAAAAAAAACCCAAACCCCTCTTTGTAGTAAAGGTGGAGGCTGCCCCTGGTTCCCCGGGGTGCTCCCGGAGCAGTGCCGGGGCGGTGGCGGTGGCGGCTCCCGGGCGTTGTTCCCATCCCCCCAAGGCTTCTGACGGGTCGGATTGCTGGGATGCAGATTGTGCTTGTAATGCAACTATTCTGATGGTTCGCTTCACAGCTGAGGCGAGCCACCATTTCAAACCCCATAACGGGAGCCTTGGAGACGGCACATTACAGAATTAGCAAAAGGTAAGAGAGCTCCATGCCAGAGGTCTTGGGCCTGGAATGAGTGTGTACGTCCTGCTCTTTACGGGGAGACAAGAGGTGGGCTAAAGAACAACCGTGGAGTCCACCCTGCTGTCCCCTGCAGATCTGTGACAGGCTGTTCCTGCTGAGTTTCTCAGTCTCTTCCTTCAGTTCTGGAAGTTCTGGGGGCGTGTTTGGATTCGTTCTCTTTTCTTTTTTCGGGCGCCTTCTCAGCGTGTGTGTTTGCCAACGGTCAGGTCTCTGCAGTCAGTGTGAAAAACATGTGATGCTACAAAACCTTCAGTAAAATCTGGATTTTGGGTTTAATTTGTATATTCCTTTCCCCCTTGCTCTTCTCACCAACCACGAGTTGTCCTCCCCTTCCTTGGAAAATGTGTAAGTGCCTTTGCAAGTGGAAGAGATGCTTTGAGTCCTTGCTGTGCACACACACACACACACACACACACAGAGCATCTCCTGGTCCAGGATAATCCCATACTCCCAGCTGAGCTCCTTTACCTCCTGCCTGACACAAATCTGGCTCATTTTCTCCAGGCTCCTGGTTCTTTTCAAGCTTGTCTGTTAGGTACTGCAAGTATTGAATTCAGCCAGCGTTTTCCAAAATTGGCTGGATCTGAAACCACCTGCCCCTGCCTGCCCTCCCCTGGTTTTAAGTTGTGTTAATTAAAAGATTGGCCACGCACACCATCAGGAAGGACTTAAACTTCTGGGTGGAGAGGAATTGTCTGGGAAACTCAGCATCAGAAATTACTTGGAGAAAGTCTTGAGTTAAAACCAAAAAAAAAAAAAAAAAAATTTAAAAAGGGAGGAAAAAAGTGAAAGGACAATCTAACCAAAATTTTCCAACCAATTTGGTGCGATTTGGACACGGCAGCTGCAGCTTCTGTTGCCCTCCCAACATTGCTAATTGGTGAGCTTTGCATCCGGAGCAATCGGAACCCTCTCGAACCCCTGGGGTTGGCAAAGCGCAGCCTGCGAGGTGGGTAAGCCTTGTCCTTTCTCTTTTTGTAGCTGAGCCGTGCTACTGTTCATGACCCTGAGACTGGGAAACTGACCACAGCACATTACAGAGTCTCTAAGAGGTAAGGGAACGTCTTCCTGAGGGATTCCCTGTTTCCGAGGAAGTCTCTTCTGGGGCTGTGCCGCTTCAGCGCTGAACGTGTGGGACGAGGATCTGTCGGGGTTTCTGTTCTTAAGCCTTTCTTTAGAAAGCGGCCTAAAAGTGAGCCGAGCTGGCACGTAACAAACACAAAGCACGTGGCCTGCTGGAGTAGGGATTGGTTGGAATTGGTGGTATTCCAAGGTGGAAGTGCTGAGCATGGCTTGTCTGCTCCAACTAACGTACTAAACTTGAGCTCCACTGACGGCGCAATAGGGACCTGCCTGGCTCACCTCTGCTCCTAAAATTCCATATATCCTCACCTGCTTAAAACCAGGAGCTGCTCTGATTCCTGGGAATGCTGCTAATTAAAGCTAGGTGGTGGCTGTAAAAGATTCCCCCGTTGAAATGATGGAATGCAGTTGGCGCTTTACTAGAAACCCAGTGTTCTTTCAGCTGCTCTGAACAAACCCCTGGCAATTAGAATGGTCTGGAGCTTAAGGGCTTTTATTGAGCTGTGAATGTCTTTAAAAAGGTCAAATTGCTTCCAAATTGTGGATCATAGGAAGGTGATTGATTCAGGAGTGATTATAAGACTTAGAAAAAATGGGAAAACCATTGGAGCTGAGGGCAGATCCTTAAGGCCACTGTTGTTAGAAGTTGGAAACATTAATTTTTATCCTTTGAAAATTGCCTTGCACCTTTGGAGCACGTGGGTCTAGGTGCTCGTGGGCACACGCAGGGAGTGGGGATCCTTTGGAAATTGTTTGCCCCTTAAAAAACTGCCCCCACAGGTTCCCCCTCCAGGGGGCCTTTAGGAACATTTGTCTTCCTGTTGGACACGTGTTGCATTTAAATCTTTTTTTTTTTTTTTTTTTTTTGCTTTTAATATTCAAGTCTTGTCCGTGTCTCATCTACCTTGCTTGTTTGTCAGTGCGTATTTTAATTTAGCATTTGTTCAGTCTTGGGATTTGTCCTCAGTGCCAGGCAGCTCTGGGGCATTGCTGAGGAACCTCCTTCCCCTCCTCGAGGTTTCTGTCAAACTTGATGTGCTAATATTGGGAGTTGCAGGAGCAGATCACTGATGGAAATTGGGATGCGTTATTGCCCCCCTATTTAAATAGATGAGCCTCAGTAAAAGAAAGTTTTATTTTAGAGCTGTGATTTTCCATCAGTAGAAGTGTTATGCCCTGAGGTATTGCAGCTGCCACAGTCTGAAAAGAATGGTTACACAGCACCACCCAGCAGATGAAAAGCCGATGGAAAAACCTGGGATAGAGCCTCCTGGCCAGCTCCTGGGGAATGGAACCTTACTTAAGGTTTGGTGCTCAAAAAGGTGGCACTGTGGGACTTCCTCCCAGCACACCTGAGGAACTCTCCGGTCAGATTTTGCTAAGTTTTTAAATCCGGTCCCTCGCTAGGAACCGGAATTAGAACTGTGAGGAACCACCCAAGAATTTAGGGAAGACCTCATTTCTTGAGGGTGGAGGGGGAATGCCCTTGTCCTGCTTCCCCTTGCCTTTGCATTCCTCCAGGTGCAGATTTCCAGGATGTGTGTGGACATTCCAAGAGAATTTGACACCTAAATCCAGAGCAGGAGGTAGAATCCCCCTCCAGAGCCCAGGGCAGCCTGAGTTAAAGGGTCTGTGTTGTTCCTGCTGGAAACATCTTCCTGCTGGAGCTGCTCGAGCTGGTTTGGATTCCAGATGAATCATTGCTCCTGAAACCCCATAAAAAAAAAAACAACCAGCTTTATTTTTTTACTAGATGACTGCTTTCCCCCTTCAAACATTCCTTCCTAGCAAATGCCCTCCTAAATTACAGCATTCCAGTCTCTGAGAGCACCACTGTTCCCCTGGTGGGACGTGGCAGGTTCTGTCAACGGGGGCACCTCGCCAGCACCACCAGAATAAACCCACCCACTCACACACTGCTTTCAAAGATAAAAAACTGCTTTTTTTCGTTTTTTTTTTCCCCCCCTCTCTCCTCCCTCTCCTCCCAGCAGGCAGCCAGAGCTTGTAGCACGTAGTGGTAAAGTTTCCACTTCAGAAATACCAGTCTGGGCTTTTATTCACTCCCTGGTGCGTCTCTACTGGTACTTTTTTTTTTTTTTTAACGTATTAATTGCATTTTAGAAAGCTTTTAAACAGAAATGCTGGAATTTCGTGGCCAGTGACTCACAGGAGCAGTGTTGAAATGTAATGTCTGCTCCTAGACTGAGCAGAGCTGAGATTTTGGGGGAATGTGTCTGCTGTGGAGAGCTGGCTAGGTGGGGTTTTTTTCCTGTTAGTATATTGCTTAGTCCAAAGTGATTTCTCTCTATAAAAAAATTGTGCTATTAAAAACCCTTAAAGGTTCATGCAGAATTATAAGACATTTTTTGTGGCTGCCCCATCCATGGAAGTGTCCAAGGCCAGGTTGGACGGGGCTTGGAGCAACCTGGGCTGGTGGAAGGTGTCCCTGCCCATGGCAGGGAGTGGCACTGGATGATCTGTAAGGTCCCTTCCAACCCAAACCATTCTGGGGTTCTGTGAGGAAATGTTTTTATTCCTCTCTGTTTGTAAGTAAGTTGTTAAAAGCCAGAGATGGGTGTGAGGAAGAGGCAAAGCAACCCCCCTCCAGTGTGAATACAGCATGGTAATGAAAAGTATTTAATTTTTTTTTTTTAATAGCATGTTGACTTAGTTCAGGGATGTGTTTTTACAAAGCCAAGTGGGTCAGCAAAACACTAAACTCGTGTGGGCAGAGAATTTGGGGCGGTAGTTATTAAGGAAATACCAACTCCTCCTGTAGGTAAATCACTTGTGTACTGATCCACCCCGCCTGTGGCTTCCCAGAAATCACCTTGTCCCTCTCTTGTGAGGAATTTTTCTGCCCACGGTGGACTCAGCTGGTCACAGATATATAACAGAGTGCCCATGAACCTCTTGGATTGAAGTTGCTGATCTGCCAGCTGTACGTGGAAGGGCAGAGCTGTGTGCATTTGCTGACTCACACTGACCCCTGAGCTGTGCAAATATCAGAAGAAAAAGGGTTGCTGAGCACCCTTTAGGGCTGTTAATGTTGCATCTCCCACAGCACTGCTGAGGGGAGCCTGTCTGTCTCTTTTTTGATAGAGGAAGGCAGGAAAAAAAGCCTCCTTTGTGCGAGGAAATGGTCTTGAGCGAGGCAGAGACCGACTGGGATGTCAGCAAGGGAGCAGGCTGAGATGCCAGGGGGAGGGAATGTGGGACAGATGGGAATATTCTGTGAGCAGGCAGAGCAGGTTCTGTGACACTTTACAGGGTTAAATCCCACTGGAAGTCCTCAGCACTCCAGGCCTCCCCCAGCTCTGCTCAGCAGACAGGCTGGCACTTGGATTGTGGTTTCAGTTCCCCGTTCCTCCACCTTTCAGAGACTTCCTTTGTATCCTCAGGCAATTAATTTTATTTTTAAAATACATGCAGTATTTCCCTTCCTGAAAGGCTGCAGTATTCTCCCTGTGGAAGCATTCACTGCTACTCTAAATAACCCATACAGCAAGAATTGCTTGGGTTTTGTCTTTCTTTGTATTTTTTGTTTTTTTTTTTTTTGACTTTTTTTTCCCCCCTATAAGTCCTTATGCACACACTGGCCAGAAGCAGATGGAGCTGGTGGGTGTGTTGGGGCTTTTTTTGTGTGTGTGTTAAATGTGAGGTTAGGATTGCTTGTGAGCATTCCCCTGTTCAACGTGGCTGCTTTTGGGGGGGGTTTATTTGGCTTCATATACATCTACTCATCCTTCCACCACCTGAAATCAAAGCAGGTTGTGCTGTAACCCCTCCCTGTACTAACAGTGTTCAGAAAGGGATGGGTCTGTGGCTGTGTCTGTGCATGTCTGCCTTAAAAAAACCTTCTTTCTTTTATCTGTGGTTCATTTGGCATTTGGAAAAAAAAAAAAAAAAAAACACTCGTAGAGATTCTGTAACCTGTGTCAGTGCCTCGTGTCCTGTGTCATGCTACTGTTCCTCCCAGAAGGATTTGGGGGTTATTATATTTTTTTTAATGCAAATTAAAGAAGAAAAACTCAATTTAGTACAGATGGGAAAGTTAATTTGAATAAAAATACTATGATGCTGCTACTGATAGTTTCCAGCTGAGCACAGGGACACTGATGAGCCCTAAAGCTGAGTCAGCTGCTGGAAAAAGGGGTAGAACTACCTGTCTCCATTGTCCTGAAAAAAAAGGGGGGGTGAGGGGGAAACGAGCCCCAAATCATCATTATCATCCATATTAATGACTAGCAGAAAGATAAACAGA